CCTGATGTCGGTGTTATGATCGGCTGAATGAAGGGAAAATAAGCCAAACACACCACTTTATTAATCTGCTCGCATAATCTATCGTCCCTCGATGCAATACATGCATGTATATACGGTAGGTGGGCTAACTCATGAAATGTCACGAAATTCCGAAATCCGTTCTCGTTTCGAAAAGAGTAATTAAGTAGGGTTGTAAAACTAATCATCTTGCAGCATAATTCTATAATAATTCAGTTAGCCCAGGATGCCGGCTTTCGAACGACTTCGGTCTAAATTCATGCAAAAATCGGACTCTGTAAAAAATGGCTACCTAAGTAGCATGTATTCTGCTCATCGATTTTCGATGCCTTTAAAAATTCCATTATATTTCATGGAAAAGATGCATAATAATATTCATTCGTTTACTCACTCCGTAGACAATTACGTCTTTCTTCATTTTTATACCAGATGGAAGGGTATACTTCGGTTTTCGAAAAAGTTCCTAATTGTGAGATTTTTTAGTACCGCGAATTGGCCGTTAATAAAACGTCATGCCCCTGTTTGTACCATCATAGCTTGTAAAGTTAATAACATGGTTCAAATCCACTGGTAAATTTTATGAACTCCATATAGTTCCCGTTTTCCGTGTGCAGAAAATATGCAGCCTATAGTTTGGAAATCCTGAATGGAAGTGTAAAGACAGGTCGGGCTCAAAATGATTCGGCAATTTGAAAGGTTTCCGGAAACCTAATTATATCTCTCCTTCTACTATACAATTGGAAGAAGACGTAATTGTCTACCGAATGAGCTAAAGAATCATTATTTTAGGCATGTTTTCCGTGATATATAATTGAATTTTTAAGGGCATCGAAAATCGAGGAGAAAGTACATGCTACTTAAGTAGTCATTTTTTACAGATTCCAATTTTCGCATATATTTAGACAGAAGTCTTTCGAAAGCCGGCATCCTGGGGTAACCGAATTATTATAGAATAATGCTGCAAGATGATTACTTTTACAACCCTACTTAAATAATCTTTTCGACACGAAAACGCATTTCGGAATTTCGGTTGACAGCTCATGACTTAGCCCACCCACTGTATATATGTTCTCCAAAGAAATAAGTTCCTTGGGAAAGATAACACAATTTACTTTACAAATTTTCGACTTTGGTTCCCGAAGTCATCCTGGGACGTGAAGTAAGTTTGCAAAACGGTTAATAGTTAAAAATGTCTAATAATCGATATCGCTCTGTCCTTCCTGCTAGTCAGCCTCTACTGCGGACTGACATCATGTTCCGATTGGCTAACGCATTTAGTACTTTTCCTTGAGGTACTTGTATGCAGCATCCTACTTAATGTGTCTATTGATGGATGCGTTATCAGAATAAATCGACTCTAAATATTGTCGGCCTTTCTTAAATGAGCAGACACCTATAATGCGAGTCTTGTTCCAGGCAAATTTGCGTCCATTTTCCAGCCTATTCATGGCAAACTTGGACAAGTGCTCTCGCCATTTTACTATCAGCTGATGTCCTTGCATGCGTTCAGAGGTAGATTTCCCAGTCTGACCATAGTAAACCGCAATACATTTGTGGCGTGGGATCTTACAGACGATTTCATTTCTATCTAAATAGCCAACCTTATCCTTAGGCTGTACAAGCTGGTTACGAAGTGCAGACGTCAGCTTGTGCGCCAAGTTTCCGACATCGAAAGACAGATAAAGAGGAGTGTTTTAGGCAAAAAAATGGATGGTCATCTTAACAAATTTCTGAAAACCAAAATTGCTCCACGAAGGCGATGAATCTCTCAGTAAGAAGACTTACAACAGCCGAAGAAAGTGTACTTTCTAAGGTAATGCAATTTAATCTTTCCGATTCGTAATACCTAGACTTTCTTTCAAACATGGAGTCTATAATATCAACAGAAAATCTTACGGATGATAAACGTTTCACAATCCGGGATAGCATTGTACATGCTTTATAGAGCCGAAATTCATTTTCAGCACTATCACACAAAGGAAGGAAGGCATTAAAAGCGCTAAAAACTGACAAAAGCATTGTCATACTTCCTGCGGACAAGGGCGGCTCAACTGCGGTTTTGAACAAAACAGACTCAAATTAAATATGTTGTTATTATTAGAGGATAGATCAACCTATAAACCTCCCATCGCGGACCCTACTAAAGCACAGAGCACAGCCATTGAAAAAGTACTAAAATGCCTTACAGGAAAGAAGCAAATCTCAGGACACATTGTCAAATCCTCACGACAAACTGAGCCAAACATCGTTAAGATTTTTGGACAACGTACGGTTCACAAGCCAGAAGTGCCATGGCGACCGATAGTATCGTTAATCGGTGCACCGAATTACAAGATTTCTAAACCTCTATTCCACAAAATCCATCCGTGGATAAGGAATTGTGAAACATCGATCGATAATTCAATAGAGTTCGTGGACAAATTGCAAGGACTGGGAAGCACAGTAGATGAGATTATGATATCATTTGACGCTAACAATTAGAGACTATCGTCCTGTAATTAGTCAACCCCACATTATGGGTTCGTTATGCTGATGATCCCCTTGTCATTGTTAAAAGACGTCAACTGGAAATGCTCCGCACTTACAGTAATCACATTCGCATTCGAGAAAGAGGCTGCTGACAAACCCCTGTTTCTCGATGTTCTCGTACAGCGGAAGACTGACGGAATATTTAACTTGTCAGTTTAACACAAGGAAATCTACGCGGAAAATCTTGTGCATTACGAGAGCAATCACCCAATCTCTCACAAACGGAGCGCCGTGAAAAATCTCCTTAACTGAGCAAAAACGCACTGCTCTCACAACGAAACCTACCAAACAGAATTGAATTATTTCTTCAAACTTTATTCCCAAGACGGGTATTTTGCGTTGGACCTGACCCGATTCCCAGTGGAAGAGGGCACACATATTATTTTGGGCCATTCCAGGGCCATACGGTCATTGTGGTGGTTGACGCCCACACTAAATGGATTTATGCGATTTTGACAGCGAAATCTTGTTCTTCAGTTACTACAAGTAACTTGTTACTATCCATTTTTTTATACTTCTGGAATACCTGAAACGGTTGTTTCAGACAATGGCCCGGCCTTTACTAATGTAGAATTTAAAGGATTTATAGAGAAAAAGTGGAATTAGGCATTTAACCACCGCCCCGTACCCGGGGCTTTAAATGGCCTCATTGAGCGCGAAATTCAGACAATAAAACACGGACTGGCCAAGCAGACGCAAGCGAGCTTAATCCCGACGATGCCACGCTTTTTGTTTAGCTATCACATAACACCAAACGACTCAACCGGTTCTTCGCCTGCAGAATTGATGTTCAAGAGGCAGTTGCGCACATGGCTCGATCTGCCTAATCCTTCAAAGCAGGACGGATGAAATCACGATATGACGTGAACACTCAACCTCGACTCTTCGTGCCTAACGAAAGTGTCTACACGCGACTGGAACACGAAACGAAATGGTGTCCGGCAGCAGTTCGAAGAAGCGACGGACAAATAGTAGAATTAACACTAGAAAATGGGACAATTGTGCGTCGAATTCTGGACCAAGTTCGCAGCCGAACGGACACAGAAAGTGGAGAGTCCGAGAAGCTTGAACTTCCGGCAATCCGCGGTATTGATTCTGGCATCCCGAGGACTGAATACCTACCGCCTACACAGAGCACAACGCCGCCGGCCGACGTGCATGTTTTCCATCCCCCTACTGTCCCGGCAAGCACTAACGTGAGGATGGAGGAGCCACTGACTCCGCAAACCAGCACAGGGTTCGAAAATACCCCGCTGAGAAGATCAACCCGAATCCGCAGACATGTCCAACGTTTTCAGAGCGAATTCCACTAGAACACTTGTCGAGTATTCACCATTGTCTTTGCTGTTTTCTCCCTCCTTTCCCATGCTGTCCACTTTAGGGTGGAGGGATGCAGTGTATGCTGCTCGGGCTGTCAGCACTTCACACCACATGCGCGCGACAAACGAACAGTAAAGGTTATGTACCCCTGTGCAGACCTTTTTCGTGCTAATTGGCCATCCTTCAGCCTATGACATTCCCCCCCCTCATGCCACATACCCAGCCGTGTCTGCAAGACTCCCCTGTCTATAGACCGCCTTTTATTTTGCATATACAACAGTGGTCATATTGACTACCGTACAGCATAAACCCAAAATATTTCAGTCACACCAAGATTCCGGCCTTTGAATGAGAGTCATTCTGACCATAAGGAACCATACTCGATAAAATGTGAATGTTTGAGTAGTGTGAATGTTTTCCCTGATTATTCGTGTTCCTACAAGTTCAGATTGCTTTATATTAAAAGTGAACAAAGACATGTCCTTTTCCTTTCATTTGCCAACATTTTGCATGTTGGTATTTTTACTCGATGAAAATGCTCGGTTAATTTTTGAAAAGTTTTCAACTCCGGTATAATTTGGAGTTGGTTTGTCGTTGCACGTGCATTCAGGGTTTCCAAACTACAAGCATGTTATCAAACTGATATTATGTAACGCTCATAAAATGTTTTAATACGTGGGAATATAGTTATATATGATGAACGCGATACAATGTCTGGCCCTCGAATTGTTACGCATATAGTTATACATGGAAGAAGGTAAAGAGATCTCTGGGGAGGATGATTTATTTATCTGACATTTCACACTCATACTTGAGCGCATCATAGGAAATAGACTAAAAGTGGGAATACAAGGTTTAAATAGGTCTTTCTTACTCATTACTGATAGGTCCATTGTTCTCTCTTCCTATTGGCCCTCCTTTCCTGGCTAAGTGGTGTCTGACGGCCTCGTATGGCGCCGGTAGGTCGATCCTACGGTTGATCGAGTTGGCGTTTGATTGCCAGGCTTCGATTATCTCTCTCGCCATTTTGCTTTCAGCTCGGCCGATTATTTCTGCCTTGTCGAAACCGAATTGATGGTTATTTTTGAGGCTATGCATAGCAACATGTGATCGTACATCTCTTCGTTTTACAGCTAGAGAATGCTCATGCATGCGCGTTTGTCGATCATGCCACAATAATTGGCCGGACAGTCTAGGCAGTTGACGCGGTAAACAATTCCTGACGTGTCCTCAGGTGGTAGCCGCCCCCTGGGCTGCATGAGTAAGCGGTGGATAGCGATCTCCGGCCGGTGTCCAAGGCCCACGTTGAGTGGTCTGAGCATGCGTTCAGTGGCTTCGGAAACGTCACTCACGTAGGGCAAAGCACGGAAGTTTTCCGGCTTTTGTTTTTGTTCACCGCCGGTCTTCGTGTGCCTTTGATACAGGCATTTGTTTATGAAGCTACGTGGGCACCCATTGGAGAGAAAGAGACGCCATAGGGATTTACGCTCTCGCAGCTTTTCAGCCTCTGTGCTGCAGTGTGCGTTAATGCGTAGGAAGAGTGTCCGCACGAAACTGCGTTTATGTGACAAGGGGTGGTTACTGCTGTAATGGAGACTTTTCGCCGTATCGGTCGCCTTTCGAAAGACACCTGTCTGGAGGGCTCCGTCTTCCTGTCTCGACACCTGGACATTCAGAAAGGGGATTTCTCCGTCCTTTTCTTCCTCCATTGTGAATTGAATTTGGGGGAAAATTGAGTTCAGTTTGCTTTTGAACGCCTCTTTCATGTCTCGAGGTAGGATGACAAAGGTGTCATCCACATAGCGCATCCAGAATTTTGGCATGTAGGACTGAAAGACCCGTGTTTCCAGTTCTTGTAGAACCGCCTCAGCTAGGTAGCCGGAGATTGGTGATCCCATCGGAGTTCCCTGGATTTGCTCGTACACCTGACCATTAAACGTAAAGTACGTGCTCAAACAGTATTCCAGTAGCTCCATTATGTGCTTCCTTTTCAGAGGTCTTTCCTCTTCATCGTACCTCCTCTCCAGTAGGTCCTTATGACCCTAGTGGCTAATTCTTTAGGGCTTCGACAAGGCAGAAGTAATCGGCCGAGCTGAAAGCAAAATGGCGATAGAGATAATCGAAGCCTGGCAATCAAACGCCAACTCGAGCAACCGTAGGATCGACCTACCGGCGCCATACGAAGCCGTCGGACACCACTGGGGCAGGAGGCGACGGCCAATGGGAAGAGAGAACAATGGACCTATCAATAGTGAGTAAGAAAGACCTATTTAAACCTTGTATTCCCACTTTTAGTCTATTTCCGATGATGCGCTCAAGTATGAGTGTGAAACTTCAGATGAATAAATCATCCTCCCCAGAGATCTCTTTACCTTCTTCAATCTCAACACCTGGGGTCGGCATTTTCGCCTATATCCATAGTTATATATTCACTCAGGAATGGGCGCACACCGATCCAATGGCTTCCCGAGTGAATAAATACCCGATCTGCAGCGACAGAGACTGGCAGGTGGCGAGGCACTGATGAACTTCGGTTTGATGAAGTGCTTATGACCAACCTGGTAGACCCCAGTGGTGGACCAGCTGCGCCCGGTGCGTCTGTGTGCATGTTTGTGTTTCCGGTCCCAGCTGGTGGTCAGGGTTATGGTTGGCCGAATGAAGGCAAACAAGCCCGAAACAGTGCTGTATCAATCTACCCCCCAGACTCTGTCGTATCCGCTCTACTATCATAGCTTGGCCGACTTCGGCCTAGTAGGTGGTTGCCTGTTCGTGACCCCTATCGCCCATACGAAGCTTGTTTGCTTCGGGAAGCCAATGGATCGGTGTGCGCCCATTCCTGAGGGAATAAATATATATGCGATATTAGTTGGATGGATATTTCACGGTCCAAGCAACCCCCATAGTTGAAAATTTTAAAACCGTAAAAGATCTTTTCTTGAGTACTAACTTTGAAAGTGTAAATTGTTATCAAATGGGTAAATCAAAACTAGTTTTATGCCATCTGAGGATATATTTGTAGTTATAAGAGCACTGGTAGTTGAGGAAAAAATCATGCTATGTAAGTAGCCACTTTTTGCCGAGTGCGATTGTTGCAGGCGGTTGGAGAGAGCAATTACAAAGTCGATATAATAACGTGACAGAAATATTTTATGATTATGTTGCATGGCAATTAATTTAACAAACTTATATAAATAACCTTTTTGTCGGAGACGTGCTTAGGAATTTCTGATAGCATTTCATTATTTTGGCCAGATACTGCACTGTAACATTTTCGCATCTGGAGGAGAAAGAGCGCAGTCCACGCTCTAATTATGTGTTGACGTTGAATATGCCCAAGTGGGCGAATAAAAGAGGGTTTATGTGTTCCTCAAAGACTTTTGTCAGGGTCTACCTTCCTCGAGTGTTGAGGAACTTCCCTGGTCCTCTTCTTTGGTTCTGACTGAGTCATCTGATGCTGGTCCGCTGTGGTTATCACCGACCCACACGCCGTCGTGAAGTGTATAATGAAATTTACCGGGAAGTAAACCTGCTTAGCTGTCCATTTGCGGACATTTTCGTCAGTGGCCTTCCTCGAGTGAAAACAGGTACAGTGCGTAACCGATTTCGTGAAATATTGGCCGAGATTTTGAAATGCGTCTTCGATTAGGGAGGATTACTTAGGTGGGGTTGTGATATTGATTAACATGCAGAATAATCCTATATTATTGTGCACTCGCCAGGATGCCGGCTTTTAAATGCGCTTCTTTCTGACCTTCTGCGGAAACCAGACTCGTTAAAATGACTTCTTAATTAGAGTGCACTTTTCACACTGATTTTCGATGGTCTTGTAAATTTAAATATACTTCATAGAAAGCCTGCACAAAAATATTTTTTATTCGTTTGGTAGAAAATCACATTTTCTTTTCATTTTATACCCTAAGAAAAGTTATCTTTTGGTCTTAACAAAGTTTCAAATTGTGAGATTTTAAGACCGTACGGTGTCCATACATACAGCATCAAACTTTTCCGTTTAGCAATGCTTTTTATGAAATGTAAAACACGGTCCGCATCTATTTCAACACTTTATAAACTTTAGACGGTATTTTCTTAAAGGCATGGAGGAATATGTGATTTTCCTTATGCGGAAAGTATGCAGCTTGTTGACTTAAATCGCTAAACACAATGCAGCGACTGATGGGGCTCCCAATTATTCGGAAATTAGAAAACTTTTCAACACCTAATTAGGCGCCTTCTTCGAGTATAAAATATAAAGTTGACGTTATTCTCTATCAAACGGCTGGAAGAAAGCACATTTTATTCGTGGTTTTCATAAAATATATTTGAATTTGCAAGACCATTCAAAATCAATGCAAAAAAATGCATGCCACTTAAGTAGTAATTCCTAACGAGTGTGGTTTCTGTATGTGGTCGAAAATCCGTGCATTCAAAAGCCGATATCATGGCGAATCAAATAATGTACGATTTTTCTGCATGATAATCAGTATTACAACCCCATTTAGGTAATCCTTGCTAATCGGAAACGCATTTCGGAATTTCGGCCAACATTTTATGAGGTCGGTCACGCGCTGTTTGATCTGACAAACCCCCTAATTATCGCGTGGATGGAGTACTGCAAAGATCATAACAGAACGTGTGGACTCTCTGAGGAACCCACACTGTTTCTGGTGACGTCGCGTGACTAAGTGTCACACCGGTGAAGGCCTGCACTCATGATATTTAGCAGGGCAATTATTCGGTTTTGCAGCACGTACTTTAGTTCCTATAGAAACTGCAGGGGTGTGGTTGGGTGGAGTCCTTGCAATTCTGGGAAACTTATCGTCATCTGCACAACCAGTAGAGCACAGCAGTCCGCTTTGCTTGAAGCCGAGCGTAATTGTACCTGCACACTTCTGCAAACCGTATGCTGGCGTCAGGCTTTTTCCACTCGTCAATTACTGAGCAAAAAATTGAGAAGTTTGCCAATTGAATCTGTGCAGACTGAGGACCCTACGCAAGTTTTCAGTGCAGAGCTCCACGTTCTGTGTTTTTTTCGCCTGCAGTTCTTTCCTCTCTGAATTAAGCAACTGCGACGCCCCGTAGGTTTCTGACTCTGAGTCGTCTGGATGGACGCTGGTTGCGTTTTTTTTAACAGCCTACTCAAAACTCTGTCCGCCCTGTGTTTTACACTCCCCAGTCTTCGCGTAATTGGCGCTCCCCCCCTTTAACAGATACGGTTTTGTGTGTGCTAATCTCTTTCTCCTCATAGACTCAATGAAGTCGGTTCTGCGATGATGCCCAAGTAAACGTTGAGAAAGTTAAATTCGGCCGACGTGCGCACTCGATTTTTTATCATCAGGTCTGTGTATTAATACGGTATAGCAGCGAGAGTCTGAAATAATCAGTGAGCGGTAGTCATGTGGAGTTAGGGCTGAGGGCGCCAAAATATGTCAGAAGTCATGCTTAATTATATTCTAATTCTGTCAGAGTCATGGGAGGACCAAGAAACAGAAGAACTGATACCTATTTTTTGTCGCCGTAACTAGAGGTGCCAGGACGTGAGTACGAAAATGTGCGGCTCAGCTTAGGCCAAGGGACCTTGAGGGCTTGAAGAAACGCCTTCTGCGAGCCAGGGGTTGTGGTGAATAACCGTATAGCCACTGCATCTGCGTGGCGCAGGTACTTGGATGGCCTCGATTAGAGTTTATGGATAATCCGAAATGCTTGCTTGCGTCTGTCCGGTGGCTATTGTCAGCCAAGTGAGTCAGAAAGGATCTAGAGAAGTATTTTATATGTCTTGTTCTAGCCAGAGAGGATGGTGTTCTCGCATCCGCTAGGCTAGGCGTCTGACCGATATAACATGCCACACATGGACAAGTGAAGGCGCATAGGCATACTGGGGAAGTCCGAAAGGGCTGTCTAGCCTCACCTTCAAGAGGTAGATGAGGACAGCTTGAGAAGCATCAATCTTATCTTTGCGGCCAGACATATGGGTGCGTTGTTCGCATCTTTCTAGGTCCTCGTCTACCCCTATTGCAATGAATTAGGGTTGACGTCGTTCATACTCTCCAAACTTTCTACCTTGCCCTTGTTCGAAGCGTTATAGTTTCACAGAGAGAGAGGCAGCACCCGCCTTCAATAGGGTGAGTTCGATGGTCACGAAGACTGTCCTTTTCGAACTGATTAGCTGTTGGAATGTCAAAAGCGAGGTGCATATTCCAGATTGCCAGAATGGACGAGGCACTTTCGGCTGAAGGCGACTAGGGGTTGAAGTTGTTTTAAGCATTGGTCTGTTTCGAACGATGATGCCTCGCTGGCAGCCACGGTCGTCTGGTCGGATGGATAAATAGACAATTTTAGGAGTCCTTGTCTAGCTATCCGTCTGGCCCTCCAGAGTATAGACCATACTTACATAAATAGGACCGCCCGATTTCCCAAGTTTTGTTATCGACTTATATTGGGAAGTCATTTGAAGAAGGCTAAACAGTCAATGTTGAAATGCCTAAAGCGTGACACGAGAGATTAAAAGTGATTTTTGCTACTATATTTCATTTGACCGTGGAGAGCACGTCTTCAGCAACATTGCTTTCACTCCCTTGTCGAGCCTAATAGGATCAAGCAGTCAGACTAGGCTCGGAGGATTGGCGACAAAGCCGGGTGGAGGGACTGGCCTGTGAAGGTCCAGCCGGCGCTTTCCGAGACATGAAAGGTTCATTTCTCACGCACAAAATCACCTGTGCCAGCCGATTCCGTCACTGGAGTTTGATCGCAGAGATCAGTACCCCTTCCTAGGGTCAAATCTGAGAACTGAGCATCGGCGTGGTGTTGGGGTCGGTCAGGAGATGGAGATACCGAGGACCAGCACTCAATATGATAAACTTGATTGTGTAGTCATTGAATGAGCACAGGATGGATCATTGTATATACAAGTTCCGGCTGGAACTCTTCTGCGAACAGCCAACTAGGCTTCATAACCGAAGATCAATAATTTACTGTCTTT